AGAACTTCTGCGGCACTACGATACGAGTCACTGCGCGGTAGTCCCCACCCCCCTTGCCACGTACTACACGACACTGGTTAACTAAGAAGGCGGTGTTGTCAAGCAGATTTATCTCGAAGCGGCGGCGTCCCAATGAGAGCTAGAAATACTGGTATACTAGTATGCAGAGGCAATAGTCATCCCCTCCTCTGTGTTCCATAAATTTCCGAGGAACTAATGCATGCTTCTCGAGTCTAGTGACAGATTTTGGAGGTCAGTGGAGATTCCAGAAACCACATGTAAGCAGGCAGCAGAAAGTAGAAGTACACATAGATGCCTTCCAGCTCTTAGCTTAAGCTTCCACCTATGCCCGAGTCAAGTGTTAACCGTTACGTTTTCAGTCGCTGTACCCTTGAAATGAATAGGACTCAGCATCGTCGACTCTTTCCCAGGGCGTAGATAGCTCTCTAGATTGTGATAGTCCAAGTGTAGCTGCTTCATGTCCATGCCTGGACGCAGACAGGTTGGCCGCAGACGGGTTGGACACGTGCAACCGGCAACGACGAGATATCTGTCGAATTCCATGCACAACCTCTCTGAGTTGTTTATTATGCGAATTACTTCGACTCTAGCGTGGCGTCGTTCTTACTCGTGTTCTTCGAAATGAGATCATTAATAACAACTCCTGATGGTATCCGTTGAGAAGGCCTCCCTCTCCGCAATCACCTGGACTAGCCTCGCTGATTATCAACGACTGATACTTGGAGACCTCTTGTAGGAATCGATGCACTGTCATCCACGAAACGTCTAGCCACACCTCTAAGTTTGCTGTTGGATACCATTTCCCGACTCAAGCGACAAGATAGTTACTAGTATCACGCATCGAGATCATTCACAGCTTAGGCTTCGAAGACCAACTGGAACTCCATCAGCTAAAATTTACTCGAGGTGTGTTCTGCGAACACTGGGTCGTAAGGCATGCAATTGGTGATGCCGATCAGAATGCTTATAAAAACGCAGGTCTGCCTATCGGACGCCGTGAATGTATTTGTTGAGTTCTCAAATTGCGGTGCCTATAGCTTATTCAAAATGTCGGCAATAGCTCTGCGCAGCGATGCCGTTTGAGATTTCAGTTCTCATGCATTCGATAGGATACGCCCGCCCAGCAAAAACGCTGGTTGTTGCGTTGCAGTCGTAGCTGGGCGGACAGTATGAGCTCCTTGATAGTGATCGGA